AGAGCAAGACCGATCTAGAAAGATCAATAAGTAACATGTGAGATTAACATTACAGGAGGTGGATGCTTTAAAGCTGCAAAATTTGAGTAAGGCTTTTTGTGAAATTAAAACGATTATTTTACCGCCAAATTCTTCAAACATTCTTAGTAAGGGTCGCTATATGCATGTTCCATCTGATATAAAAAATATACGGGGATTTTTGAGTGCCTACTTGGGATCTTGTGGTTTTATGCTTGCTTTTGTATCGGCTCTGTATGCTGGTTGATTTGTGGCAAATTTAGTAACGCTAGTTCGTTCTTCTGTGTTACGACGTCGATTCCAATTATTCCGGCTTTCAGTAGCATATCTGTGACATTTGGATTTGTTGTCTTACGTATTTAGAACATTTAATTAATCTTTTGTTCAATTTCGTAACTTTGTTCAGTTTTTTTTGCAGTTTTTTCGCTAAAGTATATAACTGGGAAATAATGGTGAACTGTACTTCTAGTGGTAAGGAAAACGTTGATTTAAAAGAGGATTTTAAGATCTGGAAAGCAGAGGGAGAAAGAGAATGTAAGTGTTTTCAGCTCATAGTATTTCGTTTCAGTACGGTTTTCTTGTTCATAGTTTACTATGGATTTTTTTCGTAATTAAAATATTTCTACAGACAAAAGCGTTTCGCAACAGTTTTGAAGGATATTTATGTTACGCATTTTTAGTAAAGCATTTGCTGTTGCATATTTGGAGCACTTTTGTTTCTGACCTGAATTTCTTTCTTTACCAGTAAAAAACCGCTTCTAGAGGGATACTTTTCTTTTTGTAATTTGAGCACCTCGTCAGAGTTGGATTGTTTGCAGTTGAAAAGCTTATGAACGCTAAGAAAGCAGCATTAAAACGGAATGGTGGATTTTTGAGTCGACTTTTTCGAAGTGGGGCTGAAAACGTCGAAAAAACAATTGATCAGGTCTGTAGTTACTGATAATTTGCATCTTCTTGATCGCTCGTGCTATGTAAGGGAAGTTTCTGTTTTAGCATCTTTTGGACATGAACTTTCATGAGTTCGAAAAGCAGTATGGTCAAGGTAAGGTGTTTTAATGCTTAACTCTGGTTTCAATTACCTTTACTGTTTCGATGCATTTATTTAGTTCACTGGTTTTGATGAAATTCAGCATCTTTTTTGTGTAGGGACTGAATATGAATTTGCTTGCGGCAGTGAAGGTCCTTCCGAGGAAAATACTCAGAGCAAACAGGGCGATGGTCTCGTAAGGTAGTCTTTCAAAAACGTTATTTATTATTTATTTTTATTGGTATGCAGAAAATGATTAGATAAAGGACTGTTTGCGTTGTCACATTGACGAAGTCATATAGACATGAATTTTTTGTTGCCAAAGCTTGGCAGGTACAGCATTTCCATATCGACTCTCGTTATTGTTGTTTTATCGTATCTTTTCGAACTGAGTAATATTTTCGTATTTAGGGAACCGTCGGCACTTTTCAAAAAAAGGAAGACGGTCATCAATACACCTTTAAACACCCGTCGACTACCGAGGATAATTACACCAAAAGTTACAGCAGGGTAAAAACTTCTGTCATTTTGCTAATCACAAAATGGTAAACAATTGATCTTCGCAGTTGTGTTGATTCTCTTTATTTTAGCACGGAAGTTCAAGCTAGAGCAATAGAACCAGATGAGGTCGCCTTCTCTGTTACGGGAAGTCCGGTAGTGGTAGCACAAAATAGTGGTGTAAATGATGAGGTTCAACAAATCGCTGATGTCAGTTTCTTGATTTTTATTTTTTTTTTTTGTTTGTCTTTTAATGAGAGGTATTAATTGCAGTTATTGGAAATGGATGAGCAGGAATTTACTCCCGAAACTCGCAAAGTAGTGAACGGATTAAGGACGGTGATGAGGAAGTTGCAAAAATAACCGTTAATTTCATTTTGCTTTTTTTTTTTTTTTTTCTTTTATAATCATTAAATTATGGTGATTGATAATGAATGTTGCCTTCAAAGCGACTGGGTCATCTCTGTGTTTTAATGTTTTTCTGAAGCATCTGAACTGCTTCAAGCTGTTTATTAAACCATATGCATTTCTTGTTTTCTACAGTAAGGTGGTGTCCATTCCATTTGTATAGGTTCTGATTCCTTGCATTCTTATTCTTTTTAATTATGAATGTTACCTTTATATAAACCTTTGATACCTTTGCTGGATCTTTTTTTCTGATGGTTCTAATGAAGAGACGGTTTGGTCCTCGTATTTTAAAGCTATTTTGTTTTTTTGAGTTTTATGAGGGTAAATGTGCTTTGTGGGTACAGCCGTTTTAATTATGATGGATTGTCCTCCCCATTCTTCCTCTGGTAAGAAGCACTCGGGATTTTTTTATTTTTCCAGTATAAGGCATTGGGATCGGTTGATTCAAAGGTATTTGTCGTTTCATAAATTTTTGTAAGTTGTGGCAAATGAAGTTAACTTTGAGGGGCAAAAATTCTATGTGGTTTACTGCTGCGGGTTTTTGCTTTTTAAGGGGCTTGGTTTTCTGAAGTTTGGTAGATGGTTGGTTCTGTTGCTGGTTTTGGCGCTAGTCATCCGTTCTAGAGTGCTTGTTTGGGGGGGAGGGGGGGTCAAGTGGTTCACTGTGTTCCGGGTGGTGCAGGTTGGTCGTTATGCTTTGTTCCTTTCCTCTCGTTGTGTTTAAATGGTGCCATCTTTCCGCGTATAATGGAGCGCCTCTCGCCCTAGTGATTTTAATTTTAGTCATTTAGTTTAGAAGATGACAGCGATTGGTGTGCCGATTAAAATCCTTCATGAGGCCGAAGGTCACGTTGTTACTTTAGAGACTACGATTGGAGAGGTCTACAGGGGGAAGCTAATTGAGGTTAGTTGCGATAAAGCTTTGTTGGTTAAATGATTTCTTGCGTTCAGTACTCTTGCATCGTTGGTCACTGTGTAGCACGTTTGAACCACATTCATGGAGAATTTTTGTTTTTCCTCTTCTGTTTTCTTAGGTTATAGCGACAGAATTTTTATTTATCTTATTGATATATATGTCTCTCTGCATTCGCTTTCATTTCTAACTTTAATAACGGTCACACATCACGTTTTCAGGCAGAAGATAATATGAACTGCCAGATGTGCGATGTTAACGTCACTTTTAGAGATGGGAGGACGCATAAGTTGGAAAGCGTTTTCATCAGAGGTTCACAGATCAGATTTATGATACTTCCGGACATGTTAAAGAATGCCCCAATGTTTAAAAATATTGGTAGAGCTCAAAAAGGTGCTGTTGGTATGGGAATGGGTGATAACCGTGACGGAAGAAGTGGCCGAGGTAATTTTCAGATGGTCGTTTATTCTGTTGTGTTTTTTTGCCGAAGTCTTGACCTGTTTTTAAAGTGTGGTATGGAGAGGGGAATGATTCTGCTTTAGGAAGTGAGTAGATTAAAATCCTGCATTGTTGAAGTGAAGGGTTGGTCCACCCTTGTGTTAGTTTAGCATCGTCTTTTGTTTGGTAATTTTTTGTTTTATTTTTTAGGACGAGGAACGGCGTTTCGCGGCAGAGGTGCCATGCGAGGAGCTCCTCGTGGAGGCCCGGGTGGTGTACCTAGACCTGGTGGTTATAGAGCTTAATTTCATCGTAATTGCCGTGACTCTGCACTTTATTATATTGTATTGTTGTACCGTATCTTGTTTCTAAAAATGAAGAGAGAAAGGGAAAGACGGTGATGCCTCTATACCGGGATAGTCTGCAATGAAGTAAAACGATCTCTTGCGTGTTAAAACTTGCTGATTTTTTTTAGAGAAGATGGTTCGATTAATTTAAGGTGTCACTGATCCTTGATTTTGGCTAATTCCTTCTTATTTTTTTGCATTCTGGACTTTAACAGCAGGCAACATAATTCACTACCTTCTCCACACATTTTCACGAGATCTTTCTGAACCTCACCAAAGCGGGTTCTTTTACCAACAGTATATATTTCAAGCTGCATTCAAACATTGAAGATGCCAACTGACAGTGGGAAGGGCGAGTCATTTAGGAATAGCATAGCCTTTTGAATAGTTTATGCGTGTACCGACGCTGAAATTGACTTCTTTTTTTTCAGTCTTTTTCTGGCTTACAAGTTGCTTTTTCGTCTGGTTTTCAATGTCTGAATGCAGCTTGAAATATATGTTGTTGGTAAAACTCGTTTTGATGAGGTTCAGTGAAATCTCGTTAAGATGTGTTGAGGAGGTGAGTTATGTTGCTTGCTGTTCCATAATTTTAAATGTGAAGTTGTGTTATTTAGCGTAGCTTTGAAGTGTGTGCAGGTTGATCAAGTCCATGTTGAAGTTACCTAGTCGGATTGTTTTGATATGTTGTACCTGACATTTATTTCGAGGTGACTACATGTTTCTTGTGAGATGGTTATTTCGTGAAAATCAAGAACTCAGATTTTAAAGACTGCAGATACTGATATTTCTTTCTTAGTTTTTGGGGACAGTTCTGTGATGCAGGGATTGACTTTTGGTTTCAAATCGGGCGGTATAGGCTCGAGCATTTAAATAGGTTCTTGCATTGTGTTAACTTCTAGTGTGCGATTCCCATCATTGTTGTCACATTGTTCACGGGTGTTAGTTGGTCAGCCACCAAATGGAGCGGCGCTACAGTTTTCCTTGTTGGCTGTTGGGTCCTGTTGGGTTTAACGTAGTCATAGTGTAGGGCCAGACTGGTGGTCGTTGTTGGCTTTTTCAGCTTGCTGTGGCTACTTGGCCATAATTTCTGGAGTGGTTAGAGGGGGGCGGTTATTCATCCAGCAAGTTTCTTAGGTTGCGTTGGGGTTTGGGTATGGTTACAGCGGGCGGAAGGAGAGTGGTGCCCATGACTTAAAAAAATTCTTCAGAAGGGTTGCTTGTTTTCGTTATTTATTGCCTGAGAAGAGGACTGCAAAGTAGTATCAGGAGGTAATTCTGCATGGGAAGAAAAAACGTATTATAATCACAATCTGCATATTTCCAGATCGTGATCTTTATTCATGATGCAAGCAAAACTTACAGTCTTGGTCCTGTTGCTTTGCGGTTTGACGGATTCGTCATTTTGACGCTGCTTTGCGTAGCTTAAAAAGCAAAAGCAAAGAAGAGTCCATCTTCTCAAAAGCATTTTTCGAGCAGAATAAATGGATTTGTTTTCCGTGGTTGCTGGTATTGTTTAAAAAGGTTTGAAGTGGTCGATTTGCAAAGTCGTCGAAGAGGGTTTGATTGGGCGGGATGTTTCAAAGGGGGTAAATGGTCAAAAACGAGTTTCTAAACTTTATTCATATTCCATCTTGTAGAAGCGAAGAAATTAGCAACTAAACGGGTGGGATGAGAAGATGTTGTGTAGGGGATGATACAGGGGAAGTGCTGGTGGTTTTTCGTGGTGGAAAATTTTGAAGGAAAGTGGCGCGTATTTTTCGAATATGGAAAGCAATGGAGAAAGTGTTACCTTTGCTGAGGCAGAAATGATTATGAATCTAGCCAGATTTACGGATGAACAGCAGCATTTGGGAATTGATGTTGGGGATTGGATATGCCGGTTCTACTGAAGAGTACTATTCTTCCTGTGGTGTATTATGAAACAGCGTTTAGTTGTCTGGTAGATGGTGAAGAGTGGTGAAAAAAGTGGTGTGACCATGCAGTGATATTGGTAACAGGTCGCAGCAGGAATTTGTGCTTATGTCTTCCTGAATAAATGGTGGAAAATAGATAATTTCCGAAGTAAATTGAGATATTTTGACTTTTTTTCTTATGACAGGTGATGGTTGCAAGTTACTGATGACTAGTAACGAGGCCCAGATGGAATGTTGCTTAGTGGGGTTTTAAAGAATTTATTGATGATAGGTTTTCCAACAGCGCCTTTATACTAGGTACGACAAACCGTATTGGTTTCAATTTTAATATGGCTTTCATTTGTTTAGTTTTCCTGTTTTGTTTGTATTTTATTGTATTTCCTTGGGATAGCTGAGAGGTTCGAGTGGAATCTTAATTGTTTTTGCAAAGTAGAGGTTCCGAGTTAGGTGGAATCGGGGATATTTAGTTTTTCTTTTAGTTCTTGACATGTTTAATGTGACTGAATGTTGCTCGTCTGACTGTTGTGATTATTCTTATAATGACCGCAAAGCGGAATAAATTAAGATATATTATTTGATAAAAAAGGTTCTGAAGTGAGGAGATTTCTTGGCAGTGATTCCAGTGAACAGTCGTTTAGTTATCAAGTTCCCTTGATGAACTGTATCTGATTAAAGCGAGTAAAGCGTTTACCAGTATGCAAGTGATAGAGGTTTCCAAATTTTTTACTTACAGTATGACTGCAGCGGAAGAGTCAAGCGGACTACCCCATCGTTTCTCTTTGGACGACATTGATGAACAGTCTCGAGTACTTTCTTCCACGCAGAAAAGTTTTCAACAATCCGTTCCTAAGGTAGTTGCAGTGAGGGGTTCTAGTTCACAATGGTTTTCGAATGTTGTAAGTATTTCTTATATGACAGTCGTCGTTTTTAATTTTTATGGGTAGATTTGACTTACTTGTTAATTGGAAATAGCTGTCTTTGTTATTTTTGTAATGTTTATTTTTTCGGTAGCGGGGTACTGATAAATTGTGTCTGATTTACTTTCTTTATTTTATTTCATTTCTCAAAAGGTCAGTGAGCTGTTGGTATCTGGTAGTAGAAAAAACTTGGACGGTAAAATGGCGTGATATTGCGCCTTACTTGAAGTGGAGTTATTTTGCTGCATTTCCTTTTCATATTCTTAAACCGAATTTAAAGTTTCGAAAAGTCGTACTCAACGTTTCAGTGGATGACGCGAATACTTTTTCGTTGTTTTCGTGTTGTCAAGAGTATAAGCCTATAAAGCTTTGCTAAAGATAGTTCAATTGTAGTTCTTCTTAGAGCTTTTTTTTGAAGTAGCTAATATTTTGCGACTGTAGTTTTATCCTTGTGATAGTAAGTTTTTTTACTTTGGTTTTTGAAAAGATCTGAATTGGTCATTTTTTCCAGATTTTAAGGAGAAAAGTCAAAGGAATACTCACCTGCATGGCAATTTCTTGCTTTCTGTTTTTAGCAGGTTCAACCTGTTTGCAGCTCTCGCTGGTTCACCCTGTCCAGTCTGTCACTCGTAGGTTCAATATAAATTTTATTGCATTTTCAATATTTTAGTAGATTGAAACTGTTAAAATTGCTCGTCAGATTGGTTTTCTTTTGAAATTAAAAAAAAAAAAA